GTATGCTTCTGGACGTCTTCCTAGAGACCAACATTCTCACCTCATGGGTCTCCATCTATCTGGCGCTGCCCATTCTATCCAGCAGCGCCTTCAATCCCTGGATCTACGGCTATCGCAACTCAGAACTGCGGGCGGGAGTTCGCCGAGTCGTCGACGACTTTCTGAGCATATTGGGATTCACATATCGAAGCCAGCAAATATCAGACCGCGATCAAATACCTCCTAGTGTGGCTGCGACCGCAGGAGAGCCTGCCTCATTCATCAACCACGTCCAACGGGACGCGCTTTGCTGGAAGCCCGAAGGCGATTTCCTGCTGGTTCCGATCGCCAGGCCGGAAAGTTCGGGCGTGGTTTCCAGCATGGACAGTCCGAAGCTGTTCTGCAGCAATCCGAAGATTATTCTGCCGTGTGAAACGCCCCGGCTGCTGCTGAAGAGCAGCAGGAGCATGGTGGAGAGTCTGGCAATGGTCAGAGGCTCGGATGTGTTGATAGTGAAGGGCGCCCAAGTGATGAAACATGGCTCAAGTGTTTTATAGAGCTGGCAGAGTCAAGCCAAATGACCGACTGAGATTATCTGGGAACAACTGCTGAGCGACTGGATGAAGAAGGGGATCAATTGTTAGCAAATTATACCTATATTACTGTATGGTTCTAAGAATCTTGTCGTAAAAAATATTTTTATCTTGCCAGATATAAATCGTGTTATATCCGAGAGGGTTAGGGACATTTTTGAACAGTATTAGGGATTTGCCCCGTTGCCAATTTATGTTTTTATAAGTAAAAACCCAAGAAAATGTATCTAACAGCGGGAGTTTTATTTCACTTCTTTTACCTTTAGGTGGCAGCTAGACAGAAGAAAAAAGAGGTAAAAGAGCGCCAACATGCCCGCTTTGGACGGTGCATACGAGAGCATTTCTCAAGTGCCTCATCGGCTATAAAGCTTCTCCTCTTTGAAAGAGGAAGCCACTGTTCTGAGCAACAAGTCTTTTTTTTTAGAAAACTGCCAACTTTTCCCCATCCATGCTTGACTTTCTAAAAAGGTCATTTATTTCTGTCTAGAATGATGTACAAATGAGCATTCTTGCTCATTTTGCTTCCGAGAAATGAGCAAAAACGGGACG